GTGCCGGTAAATTTGCACAAGCAGAGAGAGTAGCTGATAAGCTCACGGCGTCAAACTTTGTTCTACCCATTCCCATTTGACGAAAAAGATCGACGGCCATTTCTGGTTTCCCATTCTGTGAGAAACTTACAATCATTAAGTTCCAGCATACACTATCTTTTTCAGGCATTCTTCTGAAAAATTGATATGCAAGATCCAGTCTTCCACATTTTGCATACATATATGTGATAGAAGATCCCACTTGACACACATTCTCCAGTCCTTTTTTCAGAATATTGCAGTGCAATTCCTTTCCAAATTTCAGAGACGCCAAAGCAGCACAAGCTGGCAAAACACTAGCCATGGTCAGGCAATTAGGGATCATTCCCTCTTGAATTAGCCACCTAAAAATGTTTATAGCTTCAACATTCAGCCCGTTAAGCACATATCCCGAGATCATAGCCGTGCAAACTGCAACATCAACCAACATATTCTGCTGGAAAGTCTTGCACGCCATCTCCACATCTCCGCCCTTGAAGTATATGTCAACAAGAGCGCTCTTCAAATAGACATCAAAAGGTACCCCATGCCGCATTATATAACTATGTACTTCCTTACAATGTTTGAGACTCCCAGATTCAAGAATTGAAGGAAGGAAACTTGCAAATGTAATCGAATCTAGTTTGACTCCAATAGCAACCATTGCTTTTAACAAAGGCGCGGCCTCGTCTGTTAATCCATTCTGCACATACCCAGCAATCAAACCATTCCAAGTAACTGTATCAGTCTGTGGCATCATATCAAAAATCTTTCTCGCATCAAAAAGGCTGCCACATTTAGAGTACATTGTAATAAGTGTGTTTGCCAACTGAGGATCAGACTCAAACCCACTCCTAATAACAACACCATGAAGCTGAATACCAGCCCCAAGTATCCCTCTCGTAGCACACACCGACAAAAGACAAACAAATGTAACCGAATTAGCCTTAACGTAAGAGTTCCTCATTTCCTGAAAAGTTCCCAACGCTGAACTAAAATCCCCATTTTTCACATAACCATTAAACATAACATTCCACAAAATACAGTCTCTCACAGGCAATTCATCAAACAGACACCTAGCATCATGAACATAACCATGATCCGTATACAACTTAATCAAAGAACTACCAATAAACAAATCCATATGAAACCCCATCGACCTCGCCAAATCATGAACCATCTTACACAATTTCACATTATTCAAACCACCACAAGCCTTAATCACATAAGGAAATGTATACTTATCTGGTGCAACATTACTACTCAACATCCTAAAGAAAAACATCAACACAAAATCAAAACATCCCATCACAGAAAAACCTCTTATCAACCAATTCCAAGGAAGACTATAACATAACTCAACCCTAAAAAACAAATTCCCAGCATCATTGAATTTTCCACAAAGAACATACATTCCCAGAATCCTTGAACCCAATGTAAGACTATTGCCCATTCCACCAACAACAACCTGAGCATGAATTTGTCTAACTTGTTTAACTATAGACGCATCTGAATTTGAACTAGCCCGAAACAGAGATTCCAATTGAGCAGTAAAAGATTCTTCCAATAAACGTGATTTTGACATGACATAATTGAAACTGGTTGTTGTTGTGTATGAACTTCGTTGTTTGAATGCAACATAGAGAACGTGTTTTACTTGTTTGAATCCAAGTTTGTAGTTCATGGCAGAATAAACAACAGTTGCAGAAAACGAAAACGGAAACTTTAGCGATGTTGATTTTCGAAAATGGGTTGAAAGTGTCATTTAGATAAAATTGAGGGAGGTAAATGTAATTTTAATAAAAAAAATAAGAATATGTTAAACCTTGAAGAGAGAGAAAGTTCAGAGATTTGGTTATTATGGTTGGCGGTGGTTTGAAGGCGGCGATGTTAATGTCATCGTCGTTGAGTCACGTGCGTCCGCTGACATGCGCTTCGTCGTCGCGGTTAGTGTCGCATCCACACGACCTTGTGAAATGGGTAAAGAGAGAAGGTGGTTTTGTTCACCGTGCGGTGAAGATAGCGCAACTCGATTCCGGTGGTTTAGGGTTAGGGTTAGTGGTTAAGGAAGAAATTCCGATTGGTACTGATTTAATTGTTCTTCCTCAGCATCTTCCTTTGCACTTTACGTCTTTTCATCAGGATGAGAAGAATGATGAGAACTCTCTTCTCCTTCAATTGAGCTCACATGTTCCTGGTAAATTAATTTGACTGTTTGTATGATTTGTTATATGAATTGCTTATAAATCAATGCTTATATGATAAGCACTTATGCTATAAAATATAAATGTTGAATTATGTTATATATGAATTGCTTATATATAAGTGCTTATATGGATTGTATAAAGTATTGAGTTCTCAATGTTGAATAAGTTGGACAATTTGGTAGCTTTTAACAGATGAATTATGGGCAATGAAACTGGGTTTGAAGCTTCTCCATGAAAGGGCGAAACATGGATCTTTTTGGTGGCCATATATCAGTAATCTCCCAGAAACTTACACTCTTCCGATCTTCTTTCCTGGGGAAGATATCAAGAATTTGCAGTATGCTCCGATTCTTCACCAGGTACTATTCTGTTATTCATTGAGGACTGAATCGTGTTTGGGATAGTATTAATGTTTCATGGCCTTTGCAGTGCACAATATGGCAAGCTAATTTTTGTCGAATTTGTGAGACAGGTAAACAAAAGATGCCGATTTCTTCTTGATTTTGAGCAACAAGTCAAGCGTGCATTAGTTGGTGTTAAACCAGATAAGCATCCTTTTGGTGGTCAAGAAGTAGATGCTTCGTCTTTGGGATGGGCGATGTCAGCAGTTTCATCTAGAGCATTCAAGTTACATGGTAACAAGAATTCAAATGGGATAAACTTTGATATACCAATGATGCTCCCTCTAATTGACATGTGTAATCATAGTTTCAATCCAAATGCTAGAATTGTTCAGGAACAAGAAAGTGGTAGCACAAACATGCGGGTGAAGGCATGTTTCTTTTTACTCTTTCCCTCGTGGCTCCTCTCCTAGACATACACACGCGCACACAAATAAAATTCTGCTTTTTAGAAACAAATATTGATTTAGTCTTTGCTGACGAATCCAATCTTTGCATTAGGTTGTGGCTGAGAAAGTTATCAGGGAAGATGATCCTTTATTACTCTGCTACGGATGTTTAAACAATGATCTTTTCCTTCTTGATTACGGATTCGTGATACAATCAAACCCTTATGACTGTATCGAGCTTAGATATGACGGTGCCCTTTTGGAGGCTGCAAGCACTGCAGCTGGAGTTTCTTCAGCAAATTTCTCCACACCTGCTCCATGGCAGGAACTTATTTTATCACAGCTAAATCTAGCTGGAGAAGCTCCTGATCTCAAGGTCCGTTCCACAACGACTGTTCTTAATTGTTAACGTTAGCACTAGAACCATAATGTCACAATTTGATTTATTTGTAACAGGTGAGCATAGGTGGTCAAGAAATTATCGAAGGCCGTTTATTGGCTGCACTGAGAGTCCTCCTTGCAAGTGATATGGAAACTGTACAAAAGTATGACCTCAACACACTCAAGTCTTTAGATGCGGAGACTCCACTTGGCGTTGCAAATGACATTGCTGTATTTCGTACCTTGATCGCTCTCTGTGTCGTTGCATTGGGACACTTTCCCACCAAATTAATGGATGATGAATCCTTATTGAAGCAGGGTGCTTCTGGTTCAACAGAGATAGCCATTCAGTTCAGAATCCAAAAGAAGTCTATAATTATAGATGTAATGAAAAACCTTGCTAGGAAGGTAAAGGTTCTTTCATCAAATCAGACAGTTACTGCTGAAGGCTAAGATTCGACACTTTCTGGCATGAATCTCATCTCTTTTTGTTATATTTAAGTGGAAGAATCTTCTTTTGTCTTGTCTAGTCATGTGAATTTTATTCTCGTAAGATTCTAACTGTATTATGTTTTCTTGTCAACATGGGTCAACTATGAAGTTCTAGATTCAATGTCCACTCTAATAATATCGATATTTATCTATTGAATTAGATGTTATGTACAAATAATGACTGCATTTTACTTACATTGTTTTGTTGCAATTGTAGTAAGTATTTGAAAGTAACATAGTTAGTTTTCCATGGAAGTCAAGATATGAAGACTGAAAAAATGTCGCAAAAAATATTTATGATATTTTATTTTTTGACTTTTACTCGATTTCACTATTCAAATAATTATAATATTTTAGTAAATACAACTAATTTTATCATTAAAATTGATATAACTAATTTCTTTTTTAAAGAAATAGGCACAATTTGTTATTAGTCTGCTAAACACTAACCTGAATATGATCTTTTATATTTTATTCTATCAATTAATCAAAGCCGTTCGATTTTTTTTATCAATTTATAATTTTTACTTTAATCACATATAAAATATTACTTTTGAATTTAATTAATCACATTAGAGCTATTTCTTTTGAATGATTTTCATGTCATGCCCTCATTTTGTAAAAAGAATATACATGTGTAACAATTAATTTCAATAAAATGTTTGTAAAAAGGATATACATGTTTAACAATTAATTTCAATTTAATATTTATTTAATAAAAAAATAAACATTTAGATATACGTGATTTGTTTGTTAATTCTATTTGTGACATAAATATCACCCATATTGTATACGTGGTGGTTAAGATTCACATCACGTGTTGATCACAATCAAGTTCCGTTCCGTTTTAGAAGAACTAATCTAACCTCTTCCCCTACAACTACGTCATTTCTCATCACCTTGTTTCGATTCATGTTCATAAACTTCGATCTCAGATCTAAAAACATACATGTATCTGTCTCTACAGTTGAATATATAACAATGAAACGCAACAAGAATTAGAAAGCCATAACCATTAGAAGCAAAAGCATGTACAAGAGAGTTAAGAGAAACAGAAAGTATTAAAACAGAAAAAACATAAACTAATATATATATTATAATAATGGATCTGTCTAAGAGTGACCAAGAAGGATAGTTCTTTCTGATAATCCAAGAGGAGAACGAGAACGAAGACGCTTAACATCTTTGAGTCTTGTCATATACAAATCAGCCTCCAACGATGGATGTTTGATTTTCTCTATTTCTTGTTTTATCTTAATCACTTGGCTATGAACAGCAAGACCAACGTAAACATCTTCATCACTTCTCTTCATCATCTTCTCACAATCCATCTTTTTGTTTTTGCCTTTCAAATTTGGAATAACCTGTTCTACGATTCCTTGCGTATATATATACGCCTTGGAAATAAATAAGTAAATAAATAATATATTAAATAAGGTCAAAACACGTATATATTTATTAACAAAGGAAATAAGAAGAAAAAAAACTGTTTCTTCTTATTTATTTTTAATCCACGTGTGACTATTCAATAATATTATATCATTTCCTTCCAAAATGGCCACACCAATATCTCAACCATTTTTAGGTTACTTTCAACCCTATAAATAAATAAATAAATAATTTTTCTTTTTCTTTCCACCCGTGCAATTATTATTCAACATCAAAGTCACACCACAAATTTGTTTTTTAAGTCATATTATTTAATAGAATGGATTCATTTTTTTTATAGATGGATTCATTCTGTAAAAAATAGTTTGAGGAAAAATAATATATAATATTTTCATATTTGTTTGTTATTCATTATTTTATTTTTTTAATTATAAAACTATATGATACCATTTTATGGTCAATCTAATATTAATAATAATACAATTTAATTCTGTCTATTTATAGTAAAAATAATTTTTTGTGATAATTTTAAAGAATTATTAAAATTCATAAATTATTATTTTGAATAAAGACTATTAAATTACGGCTTGTATTTTTATGAATACATTATTTTTTATATTATTTCAGTAAAATATCTTGATTTTAAAAACATTGTTGTGATAAAAGATTTATGGGTGCAGAATGCATTATTCACATCCTTTGTTTTTTTAATTAAATAATTTAAGTATTAATTTTTGCATCAAAATCTTTAAAGGTCATTTTCAATTTTCATATTGAAAGATTCCATTCTATGCACATTTTGTGTTGGAATGTTCTTTTCATATGTTTTTTAATTTCCTAAAAAATAGTTTTTATATTGAACAAATATTCTTATACATCAATTAATCAATTAATCATTATTATGTCGTGATAAAAATATGCCTGGCCTTCTTTACTTATTAAATTAATTAATATAAGTTTTTTTTTCAAATTATTATTTGATATTCATAGCAACAAAACAGGTCCCATTTTTTTCATTGCAAATATTGATGTCATTTTATTCAATAAAAGATGATAATGATGTCATTATATTCAATATCAAATGATCTAACACGTGGAAGAAATCCACCAAATTTGCATTGTCGAGGGTAATTCTGTCAATTCCTCCAAAACTTTTCTTTCATTATTTCCACCATCTTAGAATGATTTACATCAAAATTTGTAGATCATCGTTCATCCGTGGCCACGATATCTAAAACGACAACTAGAGAAGCCACGTGAACCAATAGAAATTGAGCATGTGTGAATCAATAATTATATATTTTATTTATAATATATATGTGTACTTCAATATCCACTTTGCAATTTAATTAAATTTATTTATAAATTGTAAGATTCATACACGTGTGAAAGGTATATTAAGGAGGCTGGTCAACCAAAGAACTTTGAAAAATAAATATGAATCGGTTAAAGATAAAAGCAGTTGACCTATATATAAATAAATTTATAAAACTCGGTCACTAGTAAATGCTAGTGAACCATAAACATAGTTCTCAAGTTGGAATTTACTCTTTAAAAATAAATAAATTTTTGTAGGTTTCAATTCGCTCTGAATTCGATATTTTTGTATATCTCAATAACTGAGTTAGTTTAATCAACTAATAGAATATTGTAGTATTCAATTTAACATCTACTATTTTAATTTTTTTATATTTGGATTAATAGTAGTAATTTGATGATTATTGATTATGATAAGAGAAAAGTAGTAGGGTAGATAATTATTAGTACATGTTTTCTTTATATGCAATGTATATTTAATTAGAAAAAAAAATAATGGGTGTTTGACCCAACAAAATAACAAAAACCACTCTTACAAAAGAAAGCTCACAAATATCAAGTTACACATTTGAACATCATTCCTCCCACCCAATCTCTCTTCTAAAGTATTTAGAAGTTACAAGTCATTACCAAAAGTTAAATTTGATCGTTTATAACCCATCAATTTTACTTTAACATTTTTCATTGAACAAAATAGAATTTCTACGAGCCTAAATGATCCAACAAATAACTAGACTAAATACCCAATTAAAATCAAAACTAAAGGCACTAGTGACTTCAACTTCAACTCCTTCAAACGAGTCAATAATAAATATGAGTGATTTTTCAAGTCCACTCCAAGCCAGTCACAAGTACTTTTTAAGATAAATTATTGACTACACACTAATGGAAGATATGCTCTAAGTCCTCCTCACCACCAAAACAAAGTGACCAAACTAAATTATGGGCACTTGTAATGACCCCGCGCCTAGCCAACTCAGCCTTAAACGATAATCTGTTGAGGATCAATCTCAAACCAAAAATGATGATTTTGCTAGGAGCTCTAGTTTTTCACAAGCTGCCCAAAACATTCTTCTATTCAACCTCGAACACTTCATCAAAATAGACTAACTCTTGTATTCACAGATAACTTACCTTGACCGAAAACCCATCCTTATGTCGCCCCACACGAATAAGGCCTTCCGGTTTGGGATAGGAGAAACTCCCTACGAAGTTTGCATTAAATCTTTCCATTGCACTGCATCTACCTCCGAAGCAGCCTCTGTATTAACACCAACATTCCAAACCCAACCGCCTTCAAACCAATCCCCATAACCTATGATTTTCGAATTGGCTAAATCCGTGAGCAAAAATAAGGATGTGAACTACATACATAGCGGTGTTGAACTGATCTAGTGTTGTTTCCAAAATTCGATACAATTCCTATCCCCTAATTTACAACCAATGTTCTTTGTTTGTTGCCAAAGGATCACCCATTATGCACAGATTTCTCCAACATGAAGAGGATTTTCAGTCACAATAGGCCAATGAGTTATCGAGCATATCAACCTTTGTGTCTCCGTATCTACAAGATAAAGAATATCCTACATAGGATTTTGATCATTCAAGATCCTCCATTTCCACTTGCTAAGTAAAGCAAGGATTTGAGACATTACCAGACAAGTTCAAGGGTGCAAATTGTAAATCCCATTACAGCAAAAAGATCAAAAAAGAAGTCTATCACAATCCAAACATATACAAATGAGTCCATGACATGAAGCCCAAGAGAAAGTCCATTACAAAATTAAAAAAAAAAATACATATTACACTTAAAAGGCATAATACTAGAGCCCACATCCAAAAAGCTCATGACTTGCATATCCCACACTAGACTCATCTAACAGCATGCCTGCGAGTCACGCGAGCCAGGTGCATATAGTAAAGGCTATCATTATCCTCCTTCTTACGAGACGCAAAATCATAGGATATAAGAGGCTACATATTATGAGCTGCTGAGGGAGGACTTGCAAACAGATGGCCATCATAATGTAAAAACTCACACATTGTACAAATTGAAAAAGCCACCCACAAATTCAAATGTCATAGTCTTCAACAAGCAGTACATGCATCAGGCCCACACATCTTGATTCACGTTCAAACCACCACAGAATAAAATAAAAAGGGGCATTTCATAACACACACCAAATGGTGGGTTTATCTTGAAGCGTAGAAAATAAAAAAAGAGAAAAAAATATCCTAAGATTAACACTGACCCCACATGATACATAGGACACCCCAAGGATTTCTTATATTTTTGGGGACAACTTGCAAAATCACTAAATGAGACGAAGGCTCACAACCTTGATTTTGTACGATTCACAATCGTTCCACAGAATCTTGGGGTAGTAACGTGATTTTGGACAGCAACTTATCTTCTTCGTCTTTCCACTCCCACCCTCAAGAGGCTTTAATAAATAGAGTCACAAACCGCACCACATAGGAGGGGGAAGAATCTGCATCAACAAAAGGCTAACGTCCTTCAACGTCTCCTGCAAAAACAACCTTAAATCACCTTCATCCACCTTCTTCAACCTTCAACAACAACCATTTCACCGCCTTCAACACATAACTTGTTTCCAATTCATAAGCCCCACGAATCTAATCTCTGTTGATCGAACCACAAAACAAATCAACAACAACACGAAAACGCGTCGAAATAAGAGAAGAGATGAAGAGAAACTTTGAGATGTGAACTTAAGACAAACCTGATTTCATTGATTTAAAACCAAACCGGAGAAGAGGAAATCGAAACTGAAACCAAATCGGATCTGAGTGAATCGGAAGGGAAAGCGAGTCGAGCGCGAAGAAGAAGGTTGTTCCGCGATTGTTTCGACCTTCCATGGCATTTTGATTTGTTGCTTTTACGAATGTTGAAAGAATGAGAATGATGAAGCTTGACTGTGTCGTTCATTTCCATTCTTTTTAATATAGTGAGTTAGTCTGGTTTAATGGTTGAGAGAACGGTGCTGGTTTCTCTTTAGAGGCCCTTAGGACGTGTGTAGGTCTGGGCCTGGTAGTTTGGTTTTTTTTTCTTCTTCTTTTTATTTTTTTTGACAACTGGTGATGGGAGGTGATGGGCCTTGAGCCCACGGCATCCTCCCTTGTTCTTTCCACACCTTTTTTTACACACCCCCAATTTTATATTTAACTTTTTATTTTCTTTTTCTTTACAAGGTGATTCACTTATCGATTAATTTTGTTAAGAGTGTCTTATCAGTATTTTTGATAGTTTATTTTGTTACTACTTTCGTATAAATTTTCTCAAACCTTTATTTTTAACTAATTAATTTTTGATTTGGTTCTTTAAATATCTTACTACCATGAATTATCATTTTCTTCCACTTTGATTTTATTTCATTTTAATCTCTATTGTGGGTCGATGAAGAGACCTCAAAAGTTACCATTGGTCAAACTATTGATAAATGGTGACTAATCTGAGACCATTTTCTTTTCCTCTTCTCATTTTCTTCTTTATCTCGATTTTATTTCATTTTTTGATCTATGAAGTCTTTTGATTCACGAACGTTAGTTTTCGAGATTGTTAACCTTCATTATTTCAAATCTGTAGAAAATGATCATTTGGATC